TCCTATCCCTTTAGAAGTGGAATCAAGCTACTTGCAAAAGTGCTTGCTTCCCTTCCTAAAATTTTTCTTTATGTCCAAAGACAACTGTCTTTATTGAGAAAACACCACAATTTGTCTCCCAAGAGTAGAAAAAGGAGCAATCCATTGAAAATGACATCAAATTATTGAACTTTGATGGTAAACAGTGTGTAGTGAAAGAGTTCAAAATTAACAATACTTTTAATTTTTTTTCAATAACATAAGTATCTGAAATTTGATCCGACTGGCCTATAAGAATTATTTTTACAAGAACGATGATGGGAGAAATTTGAACCTGATTTTTAGCTTAGATTCCTTTTCTTGTTTGTCACTTTTGTGCAGAAGATGCAATTGCTATTAATTATTGCAGTAATTTAAGTTCTTTCACAAAATTTCATGAAAGATTTTGATTCCTTTAATTATAACTCTGTTCTGCAATAGCCAAAGTCACATATTTTTTAAAAAGAAAAAAAATAAAAAAATCTATCCTTCATATAAAGAGAAGTGGAACTATAGAATCATCATCATCATACATCTTTTCTCTCTGTCTCTCTCCTCTCCTCCCTTCTCTTCTCTTCTTCTTAAAATAAATATATATAAAAGAAAAATAATCTCCTATAGGAGAGAGCTAGTTCATAAGGTATATAAGCCTTTCAAATTTTTCATCTCCTTCCTACTGAAGAAATTCAGATTTTCCTTTAAAAACCATCAAAGGATCATGTATCCCTGATATATTAAGTTTTTCTTTTCTTTCTTCCTTTTCTGTCACACTAAACGTTATCACCACAGTTTTTGATATTGGTGGCATAAAAGGCTGCAGCAGCTTTGTCATGACTTGCAATGGGATGGCTTTCTTCCCCACAAATTTCATGCTCCAAACCCCCCATGATGATGACAATCAACCTCCCACCTCTCTCAATCCGATGCTTCCTTCATGCACCGCCCAAGACTTTCATGGTATAGGACTTCTTTGTTCTTTCTTTCAAAATAATTTTAATTTTTCTTATCAGAAAAGAAGTGAGTTTGTTTAACTTTTACACATGTTTGAACCTCATCTCGAACCCCAGAATCAAGATTTTAAAGTTAGTACTTCCCAACATGGCTAAATCAGCTCTTTTGGTTATTTTGACTTATTCTTTATAGTGGGTTTGATTGTTTTCTGCTGGTTCTCCAGGGGTGGCATCATTTCTAGGGAAGAGATCATCAATGTCATTTTCAGGGATTGACGTCTGTGAAGATGCAAATGGGGAGGATGATTTGTCAGATGATGGCTCACAGGCTGGAGAAAAGAAGAGGAGGCTTAACATGGAACAGGTCAAGACTCTGGAAAAGAATTTTGAGTTGGGAAACAAGCTTGAACCCGAAAGGAAAATGCAGTTGGCTAGAGCTCTTGGTTTGCAGCCAAGGCAGATTGCCATCTGGTTCCAAAACAGAAGAGCCAGGTGGAAAACCAAGCAACTTGAAAAGGACTATGATCACCTCAAGAGACAGTACGAAGCCATAAAAGCAGATAACGATGCCCTTCAAGCTCAGAACCAAAAGCTTCATGCAGAGGCAAGTCTTAATTAGTACATGTTTTTTTCCTCCCTTTTCCTTCCCTTTTTCAAGTTAATTTCCATTTATTTTTAACTATCTTTGCTTGTTTAAAGATTGATTTAATGGTTCATTTTTACATTTTTGATAAGTTGATTGATCAATGTTTGAGAAAAAGGTAAATACTTCCTACGAAAAGAAAATAAAATCGTCCCTAATTATTTATCCGTAAAGAAGGTAGTGTTTAGCTCTTACAGAGGTTTGAATTATTGATGCTGACTAGAAATAATGCTATGGCTAGGGAATATATTACCTTATTAATTTAATCACTGCCATCTTTATAAACCAGATTCACCTTGATTGATGATACTTTTGGTGTTGCAGATAGTGGCACTAAAAAGCAGAGAACCAACTGAATCTATCAACCTCAACAAAGAAACTGAGGGTTCCTGCAGCAACAGAAGTGAAAACAGCTCAGAGGTAAAGCTAGATATCTCAAGGACTCCAGCAATTGACAGCCCTCATCCCACCAGCAGACCCCTTTTCCCTTCCTCCATAAGGCCAACATCCTTCACACAACTCTTCCACAACACATCATCAAGACCTGACCTCCAATGCCCGAAAATAGATCAGATTGTGAAAGAAGAAAGCAGCCTCACCAACATGTTCTGCGCCATTGACGATCAATCTGGTGGGATTTGGCCATGGCTGGAGCAGCAACATTTCAATTAAAGTTCGTTATCGTATCAATTTTACGAGTTGGAATTAATATATCCATGTTTTGGCATTTACATATGAGTGAGTGGTGTATAAAGTAGAATGTTATATATATCAAGTTAAAGTTTTTCAAGAGGGCTGAAGATGTTTATGGAAGAATGAAGTTTAATTATGTGTCCTTAGATGAGTTTTTTATATATATATATATATACCATATGTTTCATAGAGAGAGATGGTTTCTAGGTTGGATCATGCAAAGATATAATCCCAGGTCAAATTTTTAATACATATGATATGATTTGCTGTTCAGTAGTTGTTAGCATGGGCCATGAAATAAAAGAAAATTCTCTCTTTAAATATTTTAAGTGTTTTCTATTACTTTAGAATCCCACCTTCGATTTTCATTGTTAGTGAAGAAAAAATAATTGTCAGTTACTTGGTGGCACAGTATCAATCTCTTTTTTCAAAGTATCAAATTAAATTTGGAATTTTGAATTAAAAAAATATATGATCTTAAATTCAAGTGTATATGATACATATATAGTGAGTAAAGGAATTGAAGGAGATAAACTCTGTTGTGCCATTCTTGAGTGAAGCTTTATTAATACTTATGGATAAAACAATTTGCAAGTAAATAAAATAAACGTCCGAAATTTCATGTTATCTAAAAGAACCCTGTTGTGTCGGCGTTTTTCTTTGTATATTTAAAATAGACTACATAGAAAAGAGAGGGAGAGCATCAAACGCACATTCCAAGAGGAGAAGAAGACAAACACATGGAAGAGTAGAAGAAAACAAGGGAAGTTGGAAAATGGTCATTCTCGTGACAAAGAAAGTAAGCATTGATCATATGAATTTCAAAAGCCAATGTACAGGACCCAGACCCACCCACCTTTTGGCACTAGATGAAGCAGGGGTGTCTATTCTCTATACACTCAACTCCTTTTTTCTGAGTGTTTTGACACAACAGAAGCAGAAGAAGAAGGATACATGTGAGGCACTGTCACCTGCCACTCCCTACCACCCAGCACCCCACCACTTTGATCGTCAGTACCACACCCCCCCCGCCCCCCCTTTTCCACTTCCTCAACATGTTTTTGGGTTTTGGTCCTTTTCTTTTGAGAGTGAAAATTAATATGAAGTAATTGGGAGATCTTTATGTATTATACTAGCAGCTAGCTGATAGACATTTATCATTCATTCATTTGAAAATATCATGCTCTGATTCGAAAGGAAGAATTGCTTTTGGAGTGTGGGCAAGGTCAAGCATGCATGGATTCAAAGTCAATGATGGTTACGGCTTTTAGGTAACAGATCATTCAAATCTTTTCGTAAGCCCTTAAAAGATAAGAATGTGAGGTAATGTGACAAGGTAAATAATATCTCAGGCAAGACATAACAATATACGTTTGGGTTGCGGCTTTCCAGCACTTTTACATGATGTTTTATATTGTTTAGTAATTATATTAATATATAATATTATTTTTAAAATAATTATTAAATAATAACATAAGTTTTATAATAATAAAATACTTGAAAAGATTTACAATAACAATAATTCTATACGCAACAAATCAGTGAGACTTAACTAAGTACTACTTAAATCTTGCCATCAACATCATCTACCATGCTCCTACTACTAGAACTTTAATTGCCAAACGAATAATGATCAATTATTAAGATGTCAATTCTGAACTATTAGATTAAAAATGTTTTGAATATCATGTCAAAAATTATTTCAATATAAAACTTACTAGTTAGTCATAGGAATTATATTTTCCATTTTTTATGAAATCTTACTTTTTAATTACTACTTGTACTTCATGAGATCGAGAAGGTTATGAGTTCCAAGCCAACCTTCTGCCGGTTTTGTTCAGTATTTCTGGTTTATTTAGTTTCTTTTTATTTCTTGTAGTTTCTATTTAAGTGGAAGAGGTGATGTTTCTGCAGTTAGCACGCATTCCCGTCACTTAAAAAAAGTAAAATTAAGCGACTTCTTCATTCTTAACAATTATATACTGCATAAATATAATTGTTGAAAAATAAAACTGTTAGAACAGATAACAAGATTCTATGCCAAATAACCCAATTTGGGTACATGTCACAAAATCTACACATCCTTCTGTAAATGTTGATACACAGCAAAGAAGGTCATGATTAAGCCATAATGTTTTATATAATATTGGATATCATTTCTCTTTATTCTTTTTTTTCATCAGTTTTATTATGAGTATGTGACAGTTAGAGATAATCAGCCACCACATGGCTGGAAATTTAAGGCATATATATATATATATATATTCCAGGATGACTTCCTACTTAATTTGTGTGCTCTTCAGAAGGGCTTCTTTAGTGGCCACATGCTTGGTGTCTACCTAATCAATTCCTTTTTTATTTTCCTTTACGTGTTTTTTTTTTTTATCATTAATAAAAGATTGAAGAGAAAACATTGTTAATAAAGCAAACTAAAGATGGAAAAATAATTGATCAACAATCCTAATGAAGTCTCACAATTCAGTGAGATTAATAAGAAACATGAATCAATATTTATTTACTTATTTAATATGTAACAACCATAATCCCCTTCTTTTCAATAAAAATAAGAGGTATTGAATTCGAATTGTATAATATGTGGGTTAAAGTAAATTAAGAGATAAAAAAAATTGTCACGTATTGTATAATTTAATATTAAAAAAATGATATACAACGAAACTGTAAAACTTCATAGTGCAATATAAAATTATATCATAAAATTGTAACTGAGTCTGCTATGATAAAAATTCAAGAAATCATGTGACCAACGATAACATGATCAATGTGGATTCTGTCAATGGCGCTGCCCAAAATATTAGTTTAGTGAGTTACTTTTCTTTTTGTTTTTGTTTGTCAAAAGAACTGGCCTGCTCGAGGTTGATGCTGATTAAGTTCTTGGTTCTGTACTATGATGATTTATTTATTTCTGTTGAACTTGAAATGGAGACTTTAGGAGAAATTCTTGTTTTAAACTTGTAGGTCACCTTTTTATTATTTTATTTCTTTTATTTTAATTCAAGTTTCAACCAACTCTTGTAAATAAATTGTTAAGAGACTAAGTAACCACGGGTATATTTTTCATGTGGAAGTAAGAAATGGTGAATCTGAGATACTAACATTCATCAAGTAAGTAGAGTTGTCTCACCCTTCGCAATTAGAAATTAAAAAAATAAATAAATAAATAAAAACACTGACAAAAAATGAAATGAAAGAGTAGTCCGAAGAAAACATATTAATATAGATTCAAAACCCAATCAAAAGTCAAGCCCAATCCACTTTTTTTTTTTTT